CAAATACGCCCTTATCACGAGGAGAGGGAAGGAAGGACTCACCCAGCAGCCCAAGCGCTGTTGTTGATACCACCACCGCTACCGTTCATCGCCGGAGGAGCCGCACCACCCATCTTACGCATGTGAGGCGGGATGTACGAGCGGGGTTGGTTCTGCTGGTCCTGAATGTTCAGGCCAGACATGTTGAGTTGGTCAGCCATGATGGGTGATTTGATCGTGACTGTAGTTGGAAGACTTTGTTTGCTCGAGTGTCGACGGAAGGGTATGTGGAATCGATCGACGTGGTCGGATTACTCTCGAAACGACTGAGAAAACAGCGAAAGAGTAAAAAGTCGAAGTGAAAGGAAGCCGGTCGGCGGTTGAGAGAAAAGCAAACCGAAGGATGGAAAAAAAGAGGGAGAAGAAACAGAAAGTCGGGGCGTTGACTTTCCAAAGTTTGTCCTTCTCGGTGTTCGTCTATTAGGCAGGCGCGTAGTGCTCAGGCGCACGACGATTAGTTCTGAAGACTTGCTTTTCCCAAGATGCGTCAAAGAAAAGACAAGAGAACAGGTGATGAAATGTGATGTGTCGGTGAGGGGGATGGGGGGTTGAAGGAATATAATCCCTTTTGTTTTTGTAAGGTGGGAAGAGTTTTGTGTGGGAGGAGGGGGGGAGGTTGTGGGAGGGAAAAGGGATTTTGAAGATCGGAGGAGGAGGCAAGAAGTAGGGGAGAAAAAAAAATTCGGTTTGAGATTGTGTCGGAATCCACCAGAAAGGCCACACACCCCTGCCAACCTGGCTCCGTCAGCACTGGGCGCTGCTGGCCATGGCACCCACGCACCCCAACCATACCTTCCCTCCCGCAAAAATTTGGGGAGGCGTTCCTTCCCTTGTTTGCACTCCGCGGTGATGAGAGTCTACGGGCTGCCCTTGCCTCGACTGGACTGGGCCTGGCCTGGACAGGAGCACAGCCAGTGCCTGCCTTCCATCTTGAGGCACCCGACCTTACGTGCTTACTTCCAAGTTCCTAAGGTAAGGTATGTTCCTGGGGCACACGCCTGCCGCCCGCTCAGGCTTCAAGCAGGCAAGAAATCCGTCAGGACTCAGGAGTAAGGAACCATGAGAACCTACCTTACCTTACCTTACGGGAAATAGATAGTGAGAGCGCACGACAGGCTTCAGGCTCCCTCTCAGCCGCTACAGCCCGCCCAGGGGGTGTATAAGCAAAGCACCGGATTGGCCACCCTCGAGGACGTGTAGCATGTGCTTGCTTTCTACAGGGTGAAGGGGCCAGAAGTATGATGACATGTGAGGTGACAGGCCACGCTAAACTCTCTCCAACCAACAACCATCCAGGTTTTCCATCCCCTTCGTACTAAATTTTTTCCCTGAGTCACTATTTTATCGCCTTCTTCTTGAGCTGAAGAGGAGGGAGGGAACGGGAACCAATCCAGTGACAGTCTTTTGACTGGACACCGCAGAGGTGGAAGGAGATACCGACGAAGAATAACGTCGGTACGTACCGGTGGGAGGGTGCAACGTGCTCGAGTGCCCTTACCTCAGCTGAGGTGAACAAACGTCACGTCCATCCATCGCTACGGCCCGCGCATGAACGGACCCGACCCTTGGAGTCCAACACGGCTGGGTGTTCCGATCCTGTTACTGCGTGCAAGTTTGAATTTGGCGCTCCCTCGTGTCGGCCAACTCTGGATTATTCCATGGCCAACACGTCGAAGTGAGGATTATTACAGAAGGTTGGTACCTACCTAAATGAGGTGATTTCTTGGCTGGGTACGCAGTCCTGGGGCTGGTTTATTGGTGGCCGGGCCAGACTAGCGTTTGTATCCGCAGACGGGAAGAAACAAGACATGAAGCTCGGGGTTACAGGGTGCCCCGCAAGTCGATGGTATGGATATGGAAGGCTGGAGATTGGACTTCAAGTGGCGATAAGATATAGAAAGGTAATAATAATGATATGATAGTGAAAGGAGACTTATCAAGATGAATAGCAGGAAATCGATTTTGTCACTCACTTGCAGGCCTCTTCTCCCATTCCTTTTTGCCTCTTGACTTCGTGATCGTAAGAAAGCCTTGGCTGTAACCCTGGTCATGGACGACTTGGATTATATCAAAATTTTCTTAGGTACATACGTGGAGAAATACATTTCATTCAATTATCAATGCTGTTGATAATAGCGGTGGAACTGCTTGTCGGATGTGTCGCGCGCAAATCGATTTTGTCACCCACTTGGCCTGTTCTGTTTGGTGACATTTCACTGCACCATGACCACAAACAGAACGACTGGGACCTTGCTTTCCGACGGGCTCCCTAAATCATCCATCTGTGTGCGGAGACTGGTGCCCATTGGAGCAGCAAAATTGAGGATATAGGTTTGGCACTCGGTCCCCATCAGCGGATTATTTCCATTGGAGAGCAGACGCATGGTTCTCATGGCGAAGGCATGTTTGGGTAGAAGAAGCCTTAGATCACGCCCGCCACTACTGAAAGACGTCATTTCGTGGGGGCCACCCGCAAAGGCTTCGCTTTTAAAGTCTTCCGGTGGCGGTGCACCAGTTTCCTGAAAACCCCGACACCACAGCACAAGAGATATCAATGTAAAATTCGAACCTGCATAGAACACCGATAGAAGACCGCAAAAAAGGGGAAGGAAAAATGCTTCAAGCGTCGTCGTCGAACAAACATCGGAGCCGCCGAACCCGCCAGGTGCAACTCATAAACCAATAAAGAATCGATGCGCGACTAGTCAGCCACCAAAAAAGACAGGGAAACATCCAAGGTCTGAAGGGTCAAAAGGCGAATGGTGCGAGTCAAACGCCGGAGGGGTTCAAAGATACAAGTTACAACGGTACATCCGGCGGGGGGGGGGGGGGGGGTCTTGCTGTCTCAGTGTCTGAACCTGTGGATCGGTCAACCGGCCGGAACATCATCCGCCCAGTCAATCACATACATCCCTCATCTTCAGTCCAAAAGGAATCGACGACATCCTTACTGCGTATAAAACACGCGAGAGATTGGACGAGATAGATACTTGGGGCTGGCTCTCGGCTGAAGCGCCAAACTTCCCAGGTTCCTCAAGGCAAAGGAACCGAACGATTCGAGCGGTTCCGATCACTGCTTTTCTTCTGGAAAGTGAGCGGCCCGGCACCCGTTTCAGGACCTTGGACGCCTTTCTGGAGCCGTACCTATGGGAAAACCGTGACCTCACCGCTTGGACTAACCACCCTCCCTCGCTTTCCGTTTGCTTCCCAACACTTGACTGAGCCGCTCCCACTACGACGGTAGACTGATACAGCAACCATCACACTGCTGTCGAGCACGGGCAAGCCCGAATTCGGGACTGCCCTGTGTCGGCCGGAAGAGAATGGCATAATCCCGCTTCTTCATAAACAATGCCGTCTTGTGTTTCCCCGTGCCGATGATCCCATCTTGAATCGCATCAGCATATCTCATACTAGATGAAGCACGGGACAACGTCTCTCCAGGAATGGCGTTTTGTCGTGATAGAACTGATGCCTGTATCATTTACCAGCCCGGTCTAGTAGTACAGTTTTGCTGGTTATGGCCTCTTTCTCTCTTGTTCTCTGATGCTCCCTCGCACCACAGTCCCATAAGGCCCCTCATTTCCCGTCATCGCATCCGCATCTCAGCCACCTCAAGCAGCCTTCACCACCTTGTCGTCATCGAACTCTATGTCCACGATTCCGTCCTTGGTCACGGCCTTGACCGTCATGCCCTTGAAGTCGATGGGTAACCGTCTCTTGAGCTCATCCGTGCACAGGTTGAGGATCTTGATGCCCTGGCCTAGCGTGATATCGGGGTGGTGGTGTTTATCGAGGATTGACAGGCAGTAGTATCTGTTTGCATCACCAAATTAGCCCCAACGACTCCTTGATTCTAGCTCGGGAGCTTGGCTGAAGGAGCTTCACCGAGAAGCTCCGGTGTTGGTCAACGTACTGTGCGTAGCCGTGGGCGGCGTATGGGAGGGGCGCCAATGACGCAAGGTAGTCCAGCCAGTACAGCGCGGGCTTCTGTGTGATGGGGTCGACGCCGCCGAGGAGCAGGTTGACGTTGTACGGCTTCCGCGACCGCAAGCTCGAGGCAAGCTCGCCACGAACGAAGTTGGCGAGGCCAGAGGGGGACAAGTCTGTCTCATTGCGCATCGAGTAGAGCTGGGAGTTTGCTTGGATGTAGTCGGCGAATTGCACTATACATTGCAGAGTTCGGGTCAGCACATCGAAGCTCGTATATCGTGACCGAACTGGGTAGAGGGGTTGGATTCGATGCTCGCCCCTCCATCTCCGGCGGGGTTGGGAGCTCTATGATGCAGGAGACTAACCGGTATCACCAGACTCTCCAGAGTATGCGATCAGTGTGTGCTTGTTCAGGGATCTCGTCTTGTCGTCGGCAGTCTTCAGGACCGTTGCACCGCGCATGGCAGCTTTGGAAGCTGCAATGATGGTGAAGTCCTTGCCCGTGATACCCAGTAGTACCTCCCTGTCAATCGCACTCCATATTAGCTCACTGCATCTCCGACGAGCAGGATATCGAGAAGCTGGTGTCTCACATTTTGACTGTGGTTCTGGTTTTGGTCTGCTTGGGTTTGCTGTGGGAGAAAACGTTGGTGATGTTGCGTTCGTTGGTGTTGAATGTCGGTTGTTCGTCAGCCTTCGACCTGCCTTCGAGCTACCCCCCGGAACGCGCAGTCAAGCTACAGCCTGAACGGATGGGCCGTCCTGGGCGGATTCTGCCTAGCTAGACCGCTGCCCGCCCGGAAAAACCACCCCTGCTTAACTCACTCATGATTGGGTGCATCCACACCCCACACTGCTATCTGATTCTCCGAGATACGTACCCACCGAACTTTTTTTTTCTGGCAAGCCCACCTCGAGCAGCCAGGCGAAAAAAAAAATATCGTCAATGTAGGCGGGCCAGGACGGAAAGTTGTTTGCCCAGATTCCCAGGCAAAGCATAGCGAACGGCGCTCTCTCTACCGCCCACAATGTCGTCTTTCTTCACGATACCCGGCGCCAACAAGAAACGCAAGCGAACAGACGGCCCCGCGGCCCCCAAGAAGCGAATTGCCGCTTCAAAGACGTCTAACAGAGCCCCTCCGAAATCTGCTGCACCGGCCAAAGGCGGCAGCAAAGGCAAGAAGCCGACAGCGTCAGCACCAGCCTCCAAGAAGCGAAATGAGCGCGACGACGACGACGAATCGATCTCGGGCAGCGACTCTGACCTCGAAAGCATAGTCTCCGCCCCGGAGGAGAGCGACAATGGCTCCTCTTCCGACGACGAAGACAACGCGGGCGAGACGGCCGCCGAGCGCCGGCTGAGGCTCGCCGAACGGTACCTCGAGAACGTCAAGCAGCAGGTGGACGAGGTGGGGTTCGACGCCGCCGACATTGATCGCGACTTGATCAACGAGAGGTTACAAGAGGACGTGGCCGAGTCCAAGGGAAAAGTCTACCGCACCCTCGTCGACGAGCTCGCCTTTGACCGGGCGACCTCGTCCTTCTTCCGCAACAACACCGAGACCTTCACCTCCGTCGCCGTCAACGCGCCCTACGCCTACACCACCACCAAGGACATGTACCTGCACAAGTGGAGGATACAGGACCTGCCCCAGCACCAGTTCCCGCAGACGACCAAGAAGAAGCCCAAGAAGCCGCCAGCGCCGCCGCGCAAGAGACCCGAGCTCGAGAACTGGCTGAGGGGCAACCTGGCCCAGGCCCAGAAGAAGTCGTACCAGCGCCACGTCGAAAAGATACTCTGCGTCGCGGCGTCGCCCGACGGCAAATACGTCGTCACGGGCGGCCAGGACCGCAGGCTCATCATCTACGACGCCGAGACCCTCAAGCCCCTCCGCGTCTTCACCCACCACCGCGACGCCGTCACCGGCCTCGCATTCCGCCGCGGCACAAACCAGCTGTACTCGTGTTCAAAAGACCGCACGGTCAAGGTCTGGAGTCTGGACGAGCTCGCCTACATTGAGACGCTATTCGGCCACCAGGACGAGATTGTCGACATTGACGCCCTCGCCCAGGAGCGCTGCGTGAGCGTAGGCGCCCGCGATAGGACAGCACGCCTGTGGAAGGTTGCAGAAGAGACGCAGCTCGTCTTCCGCGGCGGCGCGGTGGACAAAAAGTCCCGGCCAGACGTTGACCCGCGCTCACTCCCGCACGAGGGCAGCATGGACCGCGTGGCCATGATCGACGACGAGCTCTTCGTCACCGGCAGCGACAACGGCTCCCTGGCTCTCTGGAGCGTCACGAAAAAGAAGCCCCTCCACATCTTCCCCATGGCCCACGGCCTGGAACAGCCCCTCCGGCCGGACGAGGTCTCGGCCGACCACAACCCAGATCCCAGCATGGTGCCGCCGCCGCAACCGCGGTGGATCACAGCGCTCAAGTCGATCCCGTACTCGGACGTTATCCTCAGCGGCAGTTGGGACGGCTGCATACGGGTATGGCGTCTAAGCGAGGACAAGAGGAAGCTCGAGGAGGCGGGGATCCTCACATCAGAAGCCGAGCAGCAGGCCTCAAAGGCTGCCAAGGGCAAGTCAGAAGGTGCCGCTGGCGGCTTGAAGGGCGTGATCAACGACATTGCCATCTTTGAACGCGGAGAGCGCGGGCAGGATGGCATCTGTGTCGTAGCAGCAGTAGGCAAAGAGCACAGGTTGGGCAGGTGGCAGATGCGCAAGGGCACCGCCAAGAATGGAGGATACGTGTTTGAGGTGCCAAAGGTGGTGAAAAAGCCGGAAGTCAACGGTAACCATAATGATGCATCGGATTCGGGAAGCGAGTAAAGAAAAGCATATAGAGATGTTCCCTTTAGGAGAGGGGCGTTTGGGGAAAAAAGCACTTACTTATAGAGGATCTTGTACCACAATGTACGAACTACGAGATGAGCCTCTACTCTCTGTCAAAGCGACGTAAAAAATTGCAGCCACTCTTCGAGAAAAAAAATGTCTATCTCTTTGATGTGCTTGGGACGCCATGCAACGTTCTATGGGTATGAGGACATAGCTATGCCATTACACACTATTTGGACGAACGCCTTCGCGCCAACCAGTCCAGGAAAACGAACGCTGTATCTCTCATCTGCCAACCTCCACGACAGATCCAACCGCTTCTTTGTCTCCGCCTCTCCTCAATCGTTACTTAACGGGGTATCATGGTTCGGTTCCTGCTCAGTTCACGGTAAGATCCACCGTCTCAGAGCCGTTCGCAGGCCTCTGGATTTTGTTGAATGAGCTCTCGGCGTCCCGCTCGATGCTCGGTATCGCCCTATTCCTTGCTCGCTGGTCTTGCGGAGAAGGCTGCTTCCTCTTTTTAGTAGACCGAGGCGGCGACTTGACCTCAGAGTAAGAACTCTTCTGCGTGATAGTGTTTGTCAACGTCCGAGGCGACGTCTTTGGAGCTTCCGCGTCTTCGATAATGATGCTCTCTTGCATTCTGGCATCCGTCCCGGATGTGAGTCTCTGCCCTGGCATCGACTCGCCGGAAGATTGCAATTCACCGAGCAGTTGTTGGCTCGGCGAGTCACCCTTCTGAGGTTGGGATTCAGGCTTTTCATCCTTGCGAGCAGCCTTGGGCGGTGGAGAAGACAGTTTGCATAGTATTTCCTCACTGATACTGAGTTTCCTCTTAAAACCCCGGACAGCTGCCTTTCTTTGCTCGGCAGACTGGGCTGGTGAAGACGCAAGCGGCTGTAACATCTTGTGACTGTTGCCCGGTTTCTTTTTTGAACTTCGAGAACCTGGTACCACTTGATCGGAAGGCTGAGCCGGCGTCGATTTCAGTGCGGAGAGCATTTGGTTCTCGTCCACCTCGACCGGCTTGGTTCTTGAAAAACGAGGACTTGTTCTGCGAGGACTGGTTCTGAACCGACCTCCAGTTGAGTTGCCGCTGCGCGATGCCTCCCGAATTGGCGTCGCTGGCGGCTCGAAACTGTCCACGAGAGTCCGCATCACGTCGCATTGCTCGTTGGTCGGGAGAATGGTGTTGCCAGGTAATACAGAGCGCTCGGCTGCCGGGCCAGGTTCACAAGCTTCGATATGCTGTGCATTGGGCTCGACCTGCGGCGTCTTCTCCATCCTCGGGCCTTCCTTGACTCCTACGGGTTGAGCAATGCCCGAGACTTCCTCGATCCCAGTAATGGTAAATTTACCCTGCTTCGAAGAATCGGGATCTTCAGAGAGAGAGGTTGCGTCGCCTCCCTCGATTTTCGCCGGCGGGCTGATGCCATTGTTGGGAGGCAGGCCTATGGCTGGAGACCCTTTGACAGTGGATGACGGATTCTTTGGCACGTCAGCCACTGGCTGAGGAGTTCTCGGGGGCGCAAGCTCGCTTTCTTGACGTTCATCTGGCAGGATGCCGGGAGTAGGCTGTCCAGTAGACATGCGCTTAGCTTTCCTCTCTGCCGCCAAGGTGGCATTCTGTAGTTTCCTCTGCTCGATAATGATGGTACGGAGTTCGCTTCGCATCGCGGGGGACGTGATGTCCCAATCTAGCCGCTCCTTACGAACTATTTTGGTGACCACGCTGTCAGGGTCCTTCAGGAACTCACGCATGTAGCCCAGGAGAAATGCGCCGCAACTTGCGTGATCTTCCTGCTCGGGGATTTTCTTTGCCGTCAATCCAAAGGTACCAGGTGGTTCGATTGCCATGTTGCGCTTATCTTTGGCTTCTTGGACGAGGTAGGCCTTCAGATTGCCGCAAGTAGGGGAGTGCCCGACGCCGAGAGAGTCAAGAGTGATGACTCTGGCTTCTGTGGGATCCTGCTTCCGAAAAGCGATTCCCGTGCTTTTGCGTACTTGACGTTGCTTCGTAGACGGTCCCTTGTCTTTCTTCCCAGGCCTCGGCTCTTCCTTCTTCTCTTCTTCCCCAGGTTGGCTCTCTTCCAGACTCATCAGTTCGACTTGCTCGCCAACAGTAGAAACCATGCCTTCGTCCGACCTTACTGGTTTCTCCTCTGGGGTTCCCTTTAATTCTTCTTTAAACTCATCTAGAGATTTGCCATCTTTGACTTCGGGTTCACCGTCATCTGTCTTGAGCAGCTTGGATGGATGACAGATGATTGCCAGATACCAGTGAGCACTCTCATTGACGGGCACCACGATGTAGTCGTAGGCGAAAAGGTCGACCTTTGCAGTCCAGGATTTGACGCCTTCGTAGTTGATCCCCCGGCCCGCCTTGGTGTCAGTCAGTTTCGGATAGAAGTAAGTGTTCATAATGTAGATACGGTCGGAAAGTTTTTTATTCTGCTTTTCCAGGTGAACTTGAAGGTACCGTAGGTAGAAACCAATGAGATTGTCGTTCAGGTATTCTCCTTCTTCCAGGCGCGAAATATCATCACGATAGACTGACGCCCTGTTCTTTCCCGTAGCTGGGAAAATAAGCGGCTTCTCGTTCCATATCTTGTCCCAATCAGGGTTTTGCTGTATCCACGAGACGGGGCTTGGGGATTTGCGTTTGGGCATGCCAAGAGAAGATTCTTGGACTCGTCTGGCGGTGCTCCTTGCTTCCCTGGGCGATTCCTTGGCCTGTCGAGACTCAGTCCCGGTGTCATGGCTGATGGGAGCGAAGTAGGAAGACGTTGTAGTGTCGGGTTTTGAAGAACGTGACGGCGTAATCTCGGGCTTCGACGAACGCGATGAGTCTTCGGCCTTCATACTGCCGCGAAGTGGTGGATTGCTCGGGGGACTGGTTTTCGACTGAGTCCACGGTACTGATACCGTATCGGCCTTGGCCTTGATCGCCTCTTTGTGTTCCAGGAGCTTGATATCATCCGGCTGAGAGTCTCTTTTGTCCTCCCACTTCTCCGCAATCGCTTTTTGCTTTTCATAGATCTTCTGAAGATACTCGCTTGCTTTTTGTTAGCACCCTGAGGTTGAGAGCGACCCGCCGGAATACATACCTGTCCTTGGGGGAACAGTCGGTCTTCTGTGTAGTGAAGGCTTTTACCCTGGCTTCAGCCCAGTCCCCAAGGCGGTGGGCATCTCCTGGTTCAGCAAAGCCGAGCACCAGTAAGCCTCCTACGTTTGAGGAAGAAGATCTCCAAATTACCGCGAACGGGGTGCCCGTGATGCTGTAAAATATTTTAGTACAGAACATCAACTTGACATCCAGCCACCCTCTCTCCGAAAAAGGCCTGCCTGCCTGATCGAAAGCGATGAGGCTCCTGAAGTGCTGGTCAAGCTTCAGGAGAACACACTCCTCTGGCTTCTTGGCCTCGAAGGTGTCCTTCCCTGATACGGCACGAACAACTTTGAGGGTAAAATTCTTGGGGATGCCCTGCTGCGATATGACCGGCTGCGATATGACCGGCTGCGATATGACCGGCTGCGATATGACCGGCTGCGATTTGACCGGCTGCGACTTTTCGAATTTCACCGTGGTCATGTCTCCTCGCTTCCGTTTTGTGTTGCCGGCGTCTGGTGACCTTCCATCATCATCCGAGATGTCATCTCCCGCTCGACGGCTACGCCCGGTCTGGAAAGCGAGTTCGTCGTCCTCCGAAACCTCTTGTATATCATCTTGGCCGCGTCTCGGGGGTTGACGGAAAGCCTTTTTTCTGGGGGCTTCTGCCGAATCTCCACGAGCTCGCCTATTCTGTGTTGGCTGGTCTTGGACGATCTCATCCTCGCCATCCCAGTCATAGCCCTCGGGCTTCTTTGAGTCTCTGACTCGCAATCCTCGAGGACGAGGGCGATTGCCAGATCTCCTACCGCCCCTACTGGAACCGCTGTGCGCTTTTTCCACGTTTCTGAATTCGCTTCCGCTCGCAGTCGAGTTTACCGAGTGTGTGCTGCGGTTGCTAGCCGCATCCCCGTCCACCGACCGTTGCGAATGCGTCAAGTCGACCAATGCGGGCGTTTGCGGTGAGAGCGACGAGGATGCCACGGGCGGAGCGAACGTCTGTGTTGTAAGGGTGGCGTGTGGTGGGACATCTCTTAGTGTAGTCTCGGGTTGTACCTTTTGACGTTTGGCTACTCTCGGGGCTTCGGCGATTGATCGTTTGCTGGAGTCTTTGCTGAGGTTATTGAAAGCAGGAGGCTTGCCGCCAGTCAACGCCAGTTTGGTTCTTGAATTCTGTGCCATTGTCAGTCCCGACTGCTAGTCTGCTTGTAGGGCAGACTCACCATTGGATCCGGAAGGGGAACCCCGTCTTTCGAGGTCCTGCAAGAGTGATTGTCAGCAGTGTCTCTTTACCGCTGTATGTTTCGGATCGAGGCATACCCGTAAGTGGGAAACGAGTGGCAGGTGCTGTCGTAGAATCGTTGTCGAAGCTCCTCGGACCTGGTATCCAAACCCCATGTTAGTTCAAATCTTGGTGGAAAGTGGGATTTGCGCTGCCGCTTACGTTTGCCGTTTCTTCTGCATGAAAATATTCCGGCTGGAACAGACATGTGTGACCTGCGAACCGGCCTGCTTGCCTCTCTCCTCAGTCTCAATCGTCTCTTCTGCCGCACGCGCAGTCTTCTCCAGAGCTCCGTCCTCTTTGCGTTCTGCGGTAGACCTTAGTCGTGGGGTATGGGATCGAGGCCTATCGGTCGGAGTCGAAGAGGGCGCAGGAAAGTCGGACGAAGACAGAGATGCGCCCGTTTGTGACGTTTCATCGCAGGGAGATCTCGCGACTCTAAAATGTGAATGTGAAGGAGGGATCACACGCTCCTGCTTCGGTCGTGAAAGTGCGGTTAGCAGTGGGGTCCAAAGGCAGAGGCTGGCCCTGCACCCACGGGGTTCACCTCAAAATTTGGGTGGCACCGAGGGGACGCTGGAGACCAGAAAAAAAGGTGCAGTGGTACCCGCTGACACGCGCTGGAACTAAGCGGATTTGCAACCCGGAAGTCTCGTCGTGGCCTGGGGCCTGTGCTGTGCGCGACGTGGGCAGCTCTGACGGGATCCACTCTATTAAACCCAGCACGCCGGAGCGCGGCATCCGCCAGGAGGCACTTGCCTTCTCGAATGGAAGCGTTCCCCCACCATCCCCGCCGCTTAAGCCGAGAAGAAACGAAAGGAGTGTGGCCACGGGTCTACACCAATATGGTAGGTACCCTGAGAAGACAATGACATACCTGATTCTCACCTCCAAGTCGGATTGAGTCTGGTTTTCTCTTGCGTGTCATGTTGCATCACTGTAAGCCGAGGTATTGAGAAAAGTGTGAGGAGAGAAGAAGGCGGGGGATTACGTGGTGGGAGGGGAGGACGCAGAAGAAGAAGAGTTTGGAATTGAGCCAGTTGCAATGGACCAAATGCGGAAGCTTCTGCTCTTGGCCCAGCCTGACTTAGTTGGAAGAGAGCATTGCAAGTGGTGATGTTGAAAGAGAAGAGGAACTACCACGAGGAAAAGGTAAGGCACTTCAGATATGCAAAGCGGGACATGGATACGTACATGGAAGGAGATAACCAGAGCAAAGTGTCGTGTCTCTTTCCTCCCATCTGCTGACGTTACAGCGACTTACTACGGAGTTCATGGTGATCATGAAGACTGAGAGGAGGAAATCTAGCTGCAGACACTACATGTGATATGAAGGCGAACGCAGATGGACAAGGATCCGATGAAGCGCATCCGCTGCTTCAAAAAAAAAAACCCGAGGTGGAATGCATCTAAATGCCATTCACCTCTCATGCTGGGCCCGTAAAGTACCCACCGGTAAGAGCCGTTTACGGCCCCACAGACCACACCACCGGTTCGGTAGGTTCCTTAGCTCCAGCCGGGGACGACGTACCCAGGTACCTCTAAGGGGACCTCACAAGCTGAAGCTCCGACCAATGGCGCGCTAAAGCCACATCTCCAGCTCCGCAAGGCTGAAGCTTGTTCCCCCAAACGTGGCCTCCCACGTCGCATCTGATCGCGAACAAAAGCTTCAACTCCCTTTTTCTTCCTGTTTCCCTTCATGCAATCCAGTTGCTGACAAGCGTCTTATTCTTTATTTTCGACCAGACAACAGGTAGCCCACCTCACACCCCAACAGGGTGGCCAGGTCTCGTCAAAATGTACAACACCCTAACCCGCGCCCAAAATACCTTTGGCTTCTTCACGACAGTAGCCTTCTTCGTCGCCGCCTTCATCGCCGCCTCCGACCTCATCACCCCTCGCGCCCCCTCCGTAGGCTCCCTCAAGACCACAAACGTTCAGGTCGTGAAGGGACGCCCCCACTACTACTCCTCCAAGAAGGAGGAGTACGCCATCATCAAGTTCTCCCTCGACGCCGACCTCTCGGAGCTCTTCACCTGGAACACCAAGCAGGTCTTCGTCTACGTTACGGCAGAATGGCCCGATAGCTCAAAGAAGGCCGCCGGCACAAACGCCACAAACCAGGCCGTCATCTGGGACCAGATCATCACCGCTCCCAGCTCCGACCACCTTGCCAATATTGGCCCCGCCGCCATGCGCAAGCTGAGGAAGAGCGCCGAGGGCAAGAGCATCGACCCCAACCGGTAAGACTTTGGACCTCAAGTTTCATAGCAGGCCGTATCAGAATGCTGACAAAACTTTGCAGCGGCAAACTCCACATCAAGAACCAGAAGCCAAAGTACCAAATCACGCATCCCTCGAGCAAAATCGCGGAAGCCGACAAGGTCGTCCTGAAGCTGCACTACAACGTTCAACCGTGGGTGGGCATCTTGACGTGGAACCAGAACATTGATATCGGCGGCTGGAAGGCACTCAAGGGTGGCGTTAGCAAGGTCTTCAAGCTTCCTGCTCTCAAGGTTAAGGAGAAGAAGCCTTGAACGTAGATTGAACTTTTGCCTGAATGAATAAAATTCCGAGCTGAGGCCACGTTCAACTGTGTTGTCACACTAAGTGATGTTCTAAAAGGACTCAAGTGATGACGCATCTTGATGCATTGATCTCCAGACTCTATCTACGACGGCGGACCGTCTGGACTATTCCAGACCAACCATCTCCCAAATCGGAAATTGGCCAACACAGACAAAGGCCCGTCGCCATGCACCTCCAAGCCCAATGTAAATGCCATTTCTATACTCCATAGACTTTTGGAAACCATTGCCATCTGTCAGAAACCAAGTCGCTTCATCAAGGGGTATCTGCTGAACCAAGAAAGGCCATAGAAATGTAAGCACACAATGTATTTTTAGGATTGGGCGGCGTCGTGAGTCGCTCCATTAGTCTGTCCGTTTGCAGCACCGCGGCCACGAGCTCCTCCTCGGCCGCGTCCACCGCGTCCCCCACGTCCTCGGCCTCTGCCACGAGCGTCGAGGTTGGCTGGGGGCGGCACGTTGCCGTACATGGGCTGCTGGGCCGGCTGTTCGTGAAGACCGGAGTAGCCAGGGTTCTGAATGGGACCTCCGCGGCCACGTCCTCTGCCTCGGAAGCCTCCGCCACGCTGACCTTGACCGTTGGCTTCGTGGTTCTCCTCCCCGCCGTGTTGACCGTTGGGATGAGGTCTGTACACAAGGGTGCTGTGGAGCAAGTTGGGGCCGCCTCCACGACCGCGGCCGCGGCCAGGCTGACCCTGGCCGCCGTTGGCACCACCACGCCAAGCGCCACGGTCCGGGGCAGGCGCATCCCTGTACTGAGGAACGCCCGTGGCGGCAGTGGTAAGCGACGCAGGGGCCGGGGCAGGCTTGCGCTGCATTCCAGCCTTGGAGCCGGAGACAACCTGCTTGAAGGTGGTGTTGAGTACCGAGGAGGAAGCGACTGTCATACCGCGGAAAGGCGGGGCTCTTTCACCCAAAGTGGTGCCACTCATGAAAGTCAAGTCCCAGACAACATCCAAGAGCAGATTGTTGGCGGTACGGCTAAGGCCGACAACAGTTCCTCGGCTGCCGAGAGGCACCTTGCCAGAAGAAGACAGGAAGCTGACACGATCGCCAAGGGCGAACTTCTGGCCGCTCAAGAACAGCTCAGCATCGCTAGGCTTCATGATAGCTGAGCGAGGAACACCCTTCATGTTCTTGACCTCGACCTCGTGGGATTGGGTGAAGGCCTGCGCACCTGCCTCAGCAAGCTTCATGACCACAACCGAGTCGAGCTGCTCGGCCTCCAAGGGCACTCTCTCAAAGTTGCGGGTCTGCGCCTCCTTGAGCCAAGCTCCGATTTCCTTCACTCGCTGGGATCCCACCTTGGGATCCTTCCAGAGATCGGTGTCGCTCACGTCACTGGCCTGAGGGTTCTGCTGAATCGCGGCAAAGAAATCAGGGAAGGCAGCAATGTACCTGGCCAAAAGCTCGATAGCGGCGTTGCTGAACTCCCATCCAGACTCTGACTTTTGCGAGTAGCCAAGCACCTTCTGCTTCTTCGCATCGAACTTTAGGTTGAGACCGAGATTGACGCGAAGACCGCCAACTGTGTTAACTTGGTAGGAAGACAGGATCTTGCTCAGAATCAAGGGGTGGAGGCCCAGCATCTTTGCGACGGCGTACGATGGAGTGTATCGGTTCTGACGCTTCATTTCTTGAATGATGGGCTTAGCAAACTCGGGCTCCTTGTTCTTGAGGACGAGAACTCGGATGTTGGCCTTATTGTTGGCGTGGCCGGTAACCTCAAGAGCCCGTCCATAGTTGTACTCGCCCAGGAAGAAGGCCTGGGTGCCGACGGGGTACTCCTCCTCAATAGGGACAGCAGCCTTCTCAATGAAGCGCTGGTCCTCGTTGACGACTTCGTCAACAATGGTCTGAGAAGCATAGACGCTTCTCATGCTGGGGTTCAAGTCGTAGTCCTTGATCAAAGCACCCTCCTCAGTCTTGATCAATCCCTTGAGCATATGGACATGCACCAGAGACTCAACATCGCCAATGACGATGCCCAGGCGCCTGGAGTGCCAATCCTCAATGTGGCGGGACTCCTTGGCGAAGAAGTGCATTTCTTTAGGACCAAGATGCGTCTGGACGACTGAGCCGTTTTGGTCGAGCTCGTAGTCGAACAGCTCGTCGGTGACCTTGACGACCTTGGCCTCCTGCAAAAAGGGGTATCCGACGAAGCATCGTTTGCCTAGCTTTCCTGCAGCCACCTGCGCTCTCGTCCTAACCTCCGACTCGGTCAGAGTGACGATCTGACTAGGGTTTTTGCTGTCTGCCTGGAATACGTTGACACCAAAGCCCTCAATCAGCGACGCCGTGTAAGGCAGCGTGTGCAGTGTTGGAAATCCTGCCAGTGCCTCAATGTTGATTTTGGCACCATCGGTAAGGCCGTTGAGGAACTTGAGACCCTCAGTGTTGGGGAGCTCGAAAATGTTCTCCACACAGTGGCAAGGGGTGATGTCGGGGAAAACGCCAACCAGAGAGGAGGGGTAGGTGATGTTGACATCGGGGTTGTAAGTGAACTTGAGAGCGACCCCGAAGCCGTTTCTGTCCTTCTGGTCCTTGCTGAGGAGCTTGTTCTTGGGCTCCATCGCACTGAGCAGACGCTTTTCGTCAATGAAGGGAATCTTGACAACAGCCTCCCACTCCATGCGCTTTCCGTTCATGTCGAGCTCAAAGTCTCTGGGATAGAAATCGTAGATGGGCGAGTTCGGGTTGGTCATGAGATCCCAGTAGATATCCGGAACAATGGACTTGCTTCGGTCGGGCAAGACACCCATGAGCTGCTCGAATGGTCTGAAAGGCTGGCCCAACTTGAAGTTGAGGTCAGCTCCAAGACCCTTGACAACATCTGCAGTCATTGTTAGTGAAGTTCAACAATCAGTGCAAGATCTAACGTACCTGAGGTCAAAGGAGAGTAGTGGTACTGGTAGTACCAGGGCCACGAGGCGATCCCCTGGTAGTAGTAGTACAAGACCCATTGGAGACCTTGGACGTAGTTCTCACAAAGTTTTGTGAGCTCAGTTTCGTACTTCTCAGGCTCCCATTCAGGGAACTTCTGCAGGTAGTACTTGGTCTTCCAACCCTGGTACTTCTGCTCATAAAGTTCCTTGTACTGCTTCTGAGCATCCTCACCAGTGACATCAACAACGGTAGCCTTGTCGTAGTTGCGCATGACTCGGTAAAGCGCAAGGGTGCCCTCCTCTTCCTCGTCGTTGATGTTTTCCGCACCCGCGGGAAATGACAAAAGGAGATGACGATGGCCTTCATCATCTTCCTTGGTGTTCCACTCGATGTGGAGGGAATCTGCAAGATCTTGAACAAACTTGCGATCGGCGGCGTTCAGACCACTTCCGAGATCCAGGGGTTCGGCTGAAGGCTTGTTGACATAGGGTCTGATCTGCTGCTTCCACAGATCTCTCTGGGAAGAGGTCAGAACGAGGCCCTTACCCTTGGGCTTGCGGCTCTCGCCACCGTTGGACTCAGCAAGCTTCTTGGACTGATACCATTTCTCGTCGCTGATATCGTCCTCGAACTGGTTGGTTTCATCCTTGGCAAGCTCATTCAACAAAATCTGAAGACGATCAAGCTTGATGACACCACCCTCGTTGATGTAGCCTTGTCCCTGAGGAAGGACAGACTTGTAGATGCGGAACATGGCCGCAAGAGCACCTTCGTTGATGTGAAGGCGGGGGAGGTTAGGAAGGAAATCGTTTCCGACAAAGAAAGCCATGAGGATGAAGTCATCGATGACTCGCTCCAAATCGAAGGGAAAGCTCAGCCGTCCAGGCTCTTTGAGTTCCTGGAATTCCAACTCGAGATATTCTCGGACTATGCAAAGATGCAACAGGTAGAAGTTCTGATGCTCCAATTCCTTGCTCTTGGCCTTACTCGCGCGGCCAAAGGTGACCTCTTCTCGGAGAAGACAGAAATGGGGGTCATGGCTAAGAAGACCCAGCATGATGAGATCGGCATCGAGGCCGTACAAGCAGTGGCGCACATTGGGATCGTAGTCAGGTTGCGCCTTGGCGTTTCTGATGTATTCCATGATCTTGTGCTCGCCTTCACCAGGGGTCTCGTGGCCAGAGAGGACAATCTCGCAGCCCTGCCAGTCGGCATCCTCGGACACCTTCTTGTTGACAAAGTACTTGAGCTGCTGCGTCAACTTGGCCATGAACTCAGTACCAGGCGTGATACAGTTACTGTCGAAAGGAGGCTCCTTGGGCATCTCGACACCTTCGGCAATCGCCTTGTCACGGGCCTTTTCATTGTCGAGGGCGGTTCGGAAACGTCTAGCACGCTGCTGGTTCATCTTGGCTCTCGGCGCAACACCGTCGATGGCCATGAAGAAAAGCTGCTTCGGCTTGATCTTTCCAAACAAGTGCTCAATGTAATTGAAGATGCGTATAAACATCTCCTCCTCGGTAAGACGGAATGTCGTATCTTCGCCCGAGTCCTTGTGCGTGCAATTGTGGATGATACCGTTCATGTCGAGCTACCCAAGAGAATTAGCTGCTGTGTTCTAGGAAGTGATGTAGTTTTGGGGGAGGCGAACATAGAGACAGTCGAACTCGGGAATGCGGTTCTCAGCAATAAGCTGAGAGATGGCTGGATAACGCTCCGAGAGCCATCTGAAGAATTTGGGGACACTGCGGGCGACAGGGTTAGCAAACTGGCCAAAGGATGGAAGTTGAAGCTCGACGAACCCCATGATGTGGTGATGGTGGCGCGCTTGAGCTAAGCGCAACTATTGGTCAAGTTCTGTGGCGAAGCAATGGATTCAACAGACAACAACAAAGTCTGTATCGATCCGTCTCGATGCGATGCAACGGGTCCGTTGGGATTTTGAATCTCTTCTAAACACGAAGGAGGTCCTGACACAGGAGGTCCAGGTGAGCCTGTCGCAAGCTGGTTGCGACGCGGAAAAGGAAAAGAGTAAATGAACAAGTGAAAGAATAATCAACAGTCGGCTATTCGAGTAGCCAGACTTGTCTGCGATTCTGCCAGGTGAACAGGGAACTCGGTCTGTCGAGCTGTGTGGAGGGGGGGAGGGTTGAGAGGTCGTGAACGTGGGATCTTTGGTTGCGCAGATGAAGCTGGACAGATGGAACTGACGCCAGATGCTGGCTGATATGGGCGCAATCGATAATGGATGATGCAGGGCAGGAACCGCCGCCTCCAGCTAGGTGTTGGGCGGTGGCGGGGCTAGGTGGGAGAATCCTGTGGCGCTAGTGGCTACAGAGGCTCATCAGTGTTTCTGGCCCTGACGGTATGACTCTTCGCCTTTCACTGGCACCGGAACTCTGGGGCATATCGGCCTGGCTTCAGGGCCTACAATGTAGGACTGCGCCACAGCTACTGCCCCGCCTCGGCCGGGGACCTGAGGCTGATGCTTTCGCGCCGAAATATGTGGGGAGCATCTTCGATTGAGCCCATGCCCGTTTCGTCCTGGCGTGGCAAGCGTCTCCCAGCCTTCCTGGCCCTTGCTTGCTCAGGCCAAGTACCTACCTGTGCAGCCAAATTTCAATCTACGCGCTGCGCGTCCTTCTTTCAGAACCTCCACTTCGCGTCAACCTCCACCCGACCGTCGTTTGCGCCAGCAAGAAGAACTTTCCGACCATTGCGCTACGAAGCACAACACATTGAACAAGCCCAACGACCGTTCTTTAGAGATCTCACAATAGAGCGATTCTACTTTGGTTTCGCGACTTTACACAATGGCGCCCGCACAAGTTGTTGACGATGTCGACGGTAAGCTTCACAGACGAGCTCCAATTGAAATGACAGGCTGACCTCTCTGCTAGTCGACATGATCCAAGAGGAGGACGAGGATCAGGAGCAGCGTCTCATCAACGAAGGTAGGTTTACAGGAGACTCGGAGCTTCAAATGGGAATTAGCTAAACAGACTTTAGAGTACAAGACGTGGAAGAAGAACAGCCCCTTTCTCTACGACATGATTCTCAGGTACGGCAAGCTGACAAGTCGCAACTCTATTGTAACTAAATATGTGATAGCACCGCCCTCGAATGGCCCACACTCACTACCCAATGGTTCCCTGATGTTAAGGAGCCCGAAGACAAGAACTACCGAATCCACAGACTGCTCCTCGGAACACACACATCCGAGGGCCTCCCGAACCACGTCCAGATCGCTGAAGTCAAGATCCCCAAGTCTGTGGCCCCGAACCCCGAAGACTACAATGAGGAGACTGGAGAAATTGGAGGTCACGCCAAGTCATCAAATGGGCAATCGACCGCCGTCGAGTTCAACATTGTGCAGAAGATTGACCACCCCGGCGAGATCAACAAGGCGCGTTACCAGCCCCAGAACCCCGACATCATTGCGACCCTTTGCGTCGACGGCAAGGTCCTTGTCTTCGACCGCACAAAGCACAGCCTGCAGCCCACCGGCAAGGTCAATGCTCAGATCGAGCTTATCGGCCACAAGCAGGAAGGATTTGGCCTGGCCTGGAACCCCCATGAGGAAGGCTGCCTTGCGTCTGGTAGTGAAGATCGCACCGTCTGCCTCTGGTTTGTCTCGACGTATCCCCCAAGATCATCGTCAGCCTAACCCAGTCTTCAACAGGGACCTCAAGAACCTCCAAAGCGGTAGCAACATTCTAAAGCCCCACCGCAAGTACACACACCACACTCAGATTGTGAACGATGTTCAATACCACCCCATCGCCAAGAGCTTCATCGGAACGGTCTCTGACGACCTGACCATGCAAATCATTGACGTGCGACAAGCCGATACAACCCGCGCTGCAGTGACCGCCAAGCGCGGTCATCTGGATGCCATCAACGCCCTGGCGTTCAACCCCACATCCGAAGTGCTCGTTGCCACGGCATCAGCCGACAAGACCCTGGGCATCTGGGATCTTCGTAATGTCAAGGAGAAGGTTCACACGCTCGAGGGACACAACGACGCAGTAACTTCTCTCTCATGGCACCCTCAGGAGGCCGGTATCCTCGGCAGTGGCTCTTACGATAGAAGAGTCATCTTCTGGGACCTCTCCCGCGTCGGAGAGGAGCAGATGCCTGACGACCAAGAGGATGGACCCCCAGAACTGTAAGTCTTACTCTCACCCAAGGAACTTCAGCTGCTTACACTAGGACAGTCTCTTCATGCATGGCGGACACACCAACCACCTGGCAGACTTCAGCTGGAACCCCAACGAACCCTGGCTCGTTTGCAGTGCCGCCGAGGACAACCTGCTTCAGATCTGGAAGGTCGCCGACTCCATTGTCGGCAGGGACGACGGCGACTTGCCGCTTGACGAGATTGACCGATAGGCAAGGTGGAGTCTCAAGAATACTTACAAGTAGCTTTATTAGCTGGCTCGCCGCAATTAGAGTTGGCTCAGGTGGACGGGGGGGACTAAAACGGCGGCGACTAACTCGGAGGATGGCACTTTTACCATTTCGTTTTCGTCTTTTTTGGCGTCTGTGGTCATTTGTGGAGATAACTTCGGATTCCCAACATGCTATCCTTTCAACGTTTCAACTGTCAACGTAGCATCGAATAACCTTTGTCCCGCCGTGCCTACGTGACATACATTTTCTGGAACTATGGGACTTCGTAAGGGCATCAGCGAGGAAGCTAATCTCGATCGGCAAAGTGCGATTTGCAGTACAATCATCATTTGGGTAGAGAGTGTTCACAAGGTCGGTTGGGCAGGTGGAGAGCAGAAAGACTTCAATTATGAGAAAACTGTGACGACTCATAGGTGGGCTAGAGAGACAGGCGCCAGAACACCATGCTGAGCTTTTCTTCCCTTATTCTCCCTTCTATCGCCGAAAACATATCAAGACAGCAAAGGCAAACACATGCATTAGAATCAGAAACCGCAAAAGTCAGTATACTTTTCTGTTTCTCTCTCGCCAACAATCTCTTCACCATAGCAAGCAACAAAACACAGGGACGAATGGCAATCGCCATTTGTGCTTTTTACGCAAGAGCAACAGCAACAAACATGACAACACAGAATTCGCATTATTTTTCTCAAAAAGATGGGCAAAGATTATTTCAAAGCCAAAGCCAGCCAGCCTGCCCTGGACCCTGTTTCACTCCCCGACTCCCACAACGCTGCCGCCCATTTCCGCCGTATAGGAACAAAACCATATGTTGTTTTTTGGTGTCGAGAAGAGAGAGAGGTGGAAAAGGGTGTACATGCCAAGCTAATCTGGAAATGGATATGATGATGTTGAGGAGGGAAAAGGGGACAAGAAAGGCCAGATGGAACGAGACAGAGAATGGTGGAAAATGTCGAAAGAGAAGAGGAGGAAACCAGACACGATGATGATGACTTTGAGAGTGGGAAAAAAGAACTAGAAATATTGAAAAATCAACACGTCTCACACACAATGAAGGCCAGGTATACCCGTTACACTCCCTTCGCTATGCACTCCCCTTTGGACCGCCCAAAATCCGACCGTACCGCAACCGCAACGTCCAACCAAAGGCAAGGTCGGCCGTAATCAACAATCCTTAACTAGCCCGCCCTTTTATACTGACGCTTGTCAGGGAGAAAGCAATTCCAACAGTGGTGTCCGTCCGTTCCGGTAGTGTAACACTCTTTTTGTCTTTCCAGCCTAGCAAACTTTTTTTCCCGCATCCCTTGGTATACCGACAGCCAACCTCCTTCCAAGTAATCTTCCAAAACCTAGACACCCCCTTCCGTTGAAAGCAAGCGTAAGTCCTGAAGGTATTTGCCAATGGTCAATGCTCTATGTTCGTCTTGTTTCCGAAGCTCGTTTCCGCAGAAATAAGTAGGCACTCAAGAAAAAGATCCAAGGTGGCTGATGTAGCTCGCCTAGATCCCCGTGTTTGTGGCCAAGTAGGTTTATTTAAGCAGGAGACTTGCTCGGAGGCGCAGCTCCTCCGTTCTGGCGGGCATCGCCGCCGCTGACGGACAAACCGCCAATGCCGCTGGAAAGGAACGCAAAGGGATCGTTTTCGTTTTGCGAGTAAAAGTTGTTCGAAGGGCCGGCAGATGCGGGCCCGTTGGAGGCCGACTGGAAGGCAGCCTCGGCAGCGCGGCTGTCAAAGGGGCCGGCGGAGTGGGATCCAGGGGCCGGTCCGAAACCGTGCGTGTTGAGGGAGGAGGGGTAGGGAGCAGCTCCGCCACCAATGCCCGAGGGAAGAGCATAGGTGCTGGGCGGGCCACCGAAGTGCTGACCACCACCGTAGCCGCCGCCCTGAGAGGCGAAGTTACCGCCGGCCGAGGCAAAGGGGCCAGGTCCGGGCGTGCCGCTCATGGAGCCCTGGCTCATGCTATAGTTGGAGGGAGGGTCCATGGGGGAAGGGTAGCCACCAGAGTCAGCGACGACGGCGGCACCAGCACGGCTGGCGCCGCATCGCAGACAGCATACGTTCTTAGCAAAGTTGTGGTAACCGCAGACCTCATTGCCACACTTCCAATCTCCCGCGCGGAACGGCACAACGCCGCTGCCGCCCATGCGACCACCACCGTGACCCATGTGTCCGTGGTGGTGCTGAGGAGGGGGCATCATGGCCGGTGGTCCGTATCCGTAGCCGTAGCCCATGTCGCCGGTAGGCCCGGCACTCACAGCCGGGAACGAGCAGCGGAAACACGCAGTTCGCCGCTGGAAGTTCGAGAAGCCACATGAAGGGCAAGTCCAGTCGCCAGGGCGAGGGCGGTTCTTGCTGGGCGGGAAGGGGGTGAGGATCTCAGCAGCGCGGTCCAG